AAATTATTGAGGCATACCGACAAAAAAAATAATTTTTTTACGTTTTTCGAAAATTCGAGTATGCGAATCAGAAGTAAATAGTAGCGCGGTCACTGAGAAATCGTCTGCGTTCCTAAACTTGCCTCGTCACACTACCACCCGACTTGATAACAGTAATAGTAATGATAGTAATGAAGCAGCAATCTCGAGCGGTCGACTCCTTAATTGTTGATGTATTTAAATTTGATGACTATTTTGGTTAGGTTTTCCATCGCATAAATGATCTAAAATATTAGTCGCATTCAAGTCAACTTTCTTTTTGATGCTTACTTTTGGAGAGAAAATCAACGAATCGTGTTCTGGGGATCCAAAAATTTTATTACTCATGCTGGAGGCAGTTTACGGACGATTTCTTGACGTTTTTGCATTAAGAAGGAGAAGAAAGGCACTCTTGCTTTTTCTTTATGTGCTTCTTTACATATTAAAAAAGTGGCAAAAATAGATGGGAGAGTTATAAAATCAGTTGTGTAATCATGGGGGGGGGGGGGGCAAATCAGTGAATCATGTTCTTCCGAAATAGATGGTGAAAATTTATCGTGTTTATTATTTTTATGGTTAGCTTTTACGTTAAATAGGTTGCATAAATTTAACTTGTATTTTCTTACTTTTTCCACTGTTAATATTAAATTCAAACGCCCTTGAATTCGTTCTTAGTATACATATCAAATATTTAATTCTTTGTAGCTTCAACTCTTAATTCCATCCCCCATAAGCATAGCCATTGCTAGTTAAACTTTTGCATTACTTAGTTTTCCGAAGAAACTTCGTTTTTCTCTATTGGAAAACACTTAGTTTGCTTTTCACTTCTGGTCAGTGTGTAGTATACCAGCGTGTAAAGGTGTGAGTCATCTTCAGTCATAGCATAGTAGCTACGAGTGGACTCGTAGATTATTTAACCACTTTTTATTTACACGTTGGTTTATCTTTTTTGCATTTTTCTTAAATCGTTGTGAAAAAGATCCAAAGGAATGAAAAAAATTGATAAAGACATTGCAGTAGATCTTGGATTAGGAATGGCGATTTATTTGAAACAAAATCGATCTTTGAATCAATTTCAATCGAAAGCCTGAGGATCAATTGTTAGTTTAATCAAGTACAAAAAATCTATTTCCGACGAATCAATCTTAAAAAGCTTACATTATTTTTGAAAGTATCAAATATACTTCAGAAATGACACAACCATTTTCCCACCTACCAGTACACACACGCGTGTGAGCGAATCTAATCAGAAAAATGTATGATTAAAAAACAGTTGGGTTATATTACTAAATTGTTTGTATTTTTGATATCCTGACAATGTAAAAATACTTGAAAGTGATAAGGTCAAAATTCAAACTGATTTACTTCTCAAGCTTAAAAGAAAGAGAAAAAGAGAGCACTTTTAAACCATACTTTGGTTGCCGCACAGGGCGCTTTCTCTAAATCTACTTGAGTGAACAGACAATCTTGAGATCACTCATGATTGGTTGGTTACCATTCACAGCTGATCAGTTTTTTCATGTACTTCTATATCTTTATACATATGCATACATTTCGGTCATTCTAGGAAAACCAGCATATTTAAAGGGCCAGAATAGACAACACTTGAATTAAGTTTTTAATAGTTGAACATTTTAAAAAAGTTTCCGGATGAATGACTGTAAGTGTGAGTTTCGTGTGATTTTCGTATAACTTTCGTGCTCCTAAAAAACCAGAGAATCTATGTAGTGTCATTGTTATTGACTTTGTAATTAATTAAGTGTTCGTTCAACGATACTTGGTCCTTACTCCAGTGTTAAGAATACATAGTGTTTTGTACATGGAAATAATCATTTTCAAGAAATCAACTGTAACTTAATTTCCCCATCATCATCAAGAGACTTTTTTAGTTTATTCAAACACTTCGATTATTATTAATTAGGAACATGACAGTAAATTTTCATTAGTTTTTAGTAACTAATTCCTAGAAAATTGTAATTCAAACAAAAAGTTGTCTTAAAATTCAACTGTTAGTAACTTTTGCAAAAATAAAATTTTTTAAAATAATATNATAAGATATTTTTTATATCATATAAACCTTGAAGAATCGTCAATAAAAAATTTTTAATAGGTTGATTTTTGACGACTCACATCAGAAAGATGGACTCAAATTCTGTTTAAGTATTTCACCAGCTTTAAGAAAAAAAAAAAGTCAAAAAATTGATCTATAAATTTACCTATCTTCAGTATTAATAGCATTATTTCGATAAAATATAAATCATTTTCATCGCAAGTATTAACCAATTTAATTTTTCATAATGATATGCAGTTCAATATCATAATTCAAACAATGAGAAAATATATTTTCTTTAAAAAAATTATTTAGTTGGATCTGATGACTTGTTGTTGGTACAGAAAGAAGTCAAACTTATTTGAAGTACGCATGTGGTAGTAAGCATGATTTAACTTGTCAGCACACTGATACGTTTAGTTTATTGGACAACATTAACAATACCGCACATTATTACCTGTATCAATACTTATAATATATTTTGTTTTAAAATGTAATCTGTTTCAAGTTTAAAGCAACTGATACGTATTGATGATATGATTCATAATAACAAATTTTATGCAATATTAAAAATTGTAAAATGAGTGGAAACTAACAAAACCCGATCCTAACGGATAAGTCTAGATCAAGTACCGAACATTGTTTAACGTCCGTAAAACTGCCCCCAGCACGAGTAATAAAATTTTTGGATACCCAGAATACGATTCGTTGACTTTTCTCCGAAAATTGGCATTAAGAAGAAAGTCGACTTGAAGACGACAAATATATCAAACTATTGTAAAGTATGATTTACCCAAGGTTATACACAAAGCAGAAGTGGAAACCGTAATCTCAAATAAAAAGCATTTATTTCGTTTCCAATTATCTAATGAAAATCAACTAAAATTTATTTCAAATTTTGTGTATATAACGATTTTATTATCTAATAACAGTTATCGCAATAAAAATATACAACGAAAAAAAAATACTACTAAAAAACTTTTATCTAGTATCTTCTATCAAAAAGTGTACCAAAATTGGATAAACAAAAGTGTTTACTTAGCGATCTATGTCCACCAAATCATTAAATTTAAATTAAAAAATTACGATGTTTTATGTACTTTTTCATAATGATTTTTACAAGCAGATTATGAATAATTTATAAAATTAAAATATCCACACTATCCCACCTAATACTGACGAATTTAAAAAAATTTTATCTAGTTAAGTGAATACAACTAACAACTTTGATTAAACAAAAATAAATCTCGACAAAGATTTTGAATCTATGAAGCGGATTGTATGAAATGTTATTTATAGATCATAAATCTCTATCTCTGTATGCCTAATCTTTCTGCCCGTTGCTTTTTATTTAATGTTTTTTTTTTTAGTTTGACATTGTTAAAATCCTAAATGGCTTTTTGTAAGTAATTATTTTTCTCAAGACAACAATAAAGTCAGTGAATAAGGCCAACAAAACATTGTTACAGTAAATCTGTGGTTAATTTACTTTTGTTCTGTAAACAACTGATTGGGTAAGAATTCACCTGGTCTTCAACGTTTATCATAAAGGAATTTTTTTGCGGTGAGACAAACCCTGTCTTTATTTCTGTCTCGTACAGTTATTGATGATCCTTTTAAGAACCTTATATAGAAACGCCAGTGCAAAATGATCAATTATTACAGTATTTTCTTTCTTCCCGGCGGTAAATAATTTTAATTAACATGAAAACATTTTTTATAACCATATATTTTAATTTATTAGGTTTTAGACGAGGATCTTGATAGCGTAACTTAATTAATCTATTGTGGCTCACTATTTTAGCTACAATATTTAGAAGTGGGTTATAGATATAAAATTCAACTTGTATTTGCAATACAACCAATAGTTATGTACAGCTGCTACTACATTTAATATCTAAAATTTACAAATAACACTCTGTTTTAGAAACTATGAAGAGTGGGTAAATTTTTTTTATTTATTGATTTTAACATAAACAGTCTGAGTACACTCGAAGGGAGTCAACTAGCGTTTTAACACGTGCGTTTTTCTTAGAATTTGAGTGATCTTAAACAAATGAAAAATTGACTTTAGTTATACTTTTGTACTCGCATAACTTTTTTTGTTTTTGTGTTGTTAATAGTCTTGTAATGAATAGGAAGGTTATACTCGAAGTAGTGAAGAAAAGAAAGTTTTAATTATCCGATCAGTATTTAAGTATTGTATATTTTTTAAGCAAACTTTCATCAAACTATCGAACATGAGTTCTAAACTTGAGATGTATGAACGTGGTTGAATTATTTCTTAATTTGGTATTTTTAATTTTATAAATAAAACTTATTCGTTGTATAGGATTTAGCAGACCTTTTTGTTTTTTTTGCGACCCAGAATTATTTTTTCCGAAATTTATTAGATAGGAGTAATGAGATATAATAAGTTGGTTATTTTCTGTCCATTGCCCATAACGTTTAGAAACTGATCGAAAAATGCCCGATGGCTCAATGTATAAAAATAAAAAAGAAATACAAGGCAAATTATTAGATACCTTTCAAATTGCTGTATTAAAAAACACTTCCTAATATTATTAAAAATATTACCTGCTCATTCGTAATATTTTATGAAGCCATAGAAACTGTATCGCTTTTCTCATAAATTATTGATCTCTGCTCCTTCTTTTAAGAAAAAGAGGAATGAAATGTGTACAGTTTAAGCATATGGTAATATATTAGCTTGTATAATATTCTATGAAATTGACCTTTTTACTAAATAAAACTTACTTTTATGATAACAACACACCAATATCAAATAATTTTTTGAAAACAAATACATGAAAAAAGTTTTTTTTGTAGTAAGAAACTGTTTCCCTCAAAATAAAGTTACTACACGAGAAAGAAAATTTATTTTTTTTTATCATAATTCAAAGATTTATTGTAAAAAACTAAAAAGAATAAATTTTCATTCCAATTTGTCTGGTGATGCATCATTACTAAACATTTCTGTTGGAACTGTAGCTGGTGCTTTTTCTGGAAGCAATTCTAGATAGTTTTGACGTGATTCCAAATGTCTTTCAACTTCTTCCGGAGTCATGTGTCCATCAGATAAAATAGAGCAATGTAAGGAGTTTTTTTTATCCATCTGAAAAAATGTGAGAATTTAATATAACTTTAATTGAAAATCTCAAACTATTAAATTTATTGAGAACCATATCTTTTAACACAAGTACGAATACTCACACAGCCACACACACACACACACACACATTTGCTGTGTGCTAGTCGTTGGAGGGGGTAAAATGAAACGACAGCAGAGCCCATGGCGAGAGAAAGGTGCGGATTTGCTGGATATTTGAGGACTCAATGCACTATTGATTATACTTTATTTAGTTTTTTAACCACTATGAGTTGCCAGACGTTATGATAAATATTATGAACGTAAGCCTTAAAACGTTTTTATTGTAAAGAAAGTAAAGTCAAATAAAGTAAAATTATTAAAAAAACCCAAAGAATTTAATTTGATAATTATTAAAGTAGAAGTTAAAGAAAAGTTGTTGGGCTAAGGGGATCAAACATAAAATGTAACTAAATTAAATGAAAAACTGTAATAGTTTTACCTTATATTACAGATGACAAAAATGAGGCTCACGTATGAAGGTCCGCGTCTCTCGTTTATAATATATATATATATATATATAGATATACTTTTTCATAGCGTCACAAAGCCCAAAACAGAATTGAAAAACAAGGGGTTACAATAAAATAACAGTCTAAAAAGCTTTGAGAATATGTACAAGGATGTTTACGAAGTACTTAAGAACTTTGACAACATGAAAATTGTTGGTTTTTTATATCGTTTTCCATGGATGAAAAAAGCCATTTCCGCATTTTTTCAAACTCTAATAATTAATATTTCGAAAAGTATTAACTGTAGAAAAAAGTTGCAAAAGACTTTTTTGTTTGTAGTCCAAAGATAGTAAAAAAACGTTTTTCCAGTCAAAATAAAATTTTGCAAAATATGTTTAAAAAAAATTGTTTAAACAATTATTGACCAACTTTTAGACCTGACAACATGCAAATTCGATTTCAGAGGATTATTTTACATAAGTTAATGCAAAATAAGCGAGTATAAATATTTTCGTCGACAAATGCGAAGTTATTTTCCCCTCTATTAAAAAAAAAATTGAAGTTAAAATTTTTATGCTGTGGAATGACTAAAACTATTTTCTAATATTAAATTATTCTTTAAGTTTTTATACTAAAACTGGTTTATGTACGTTATAACCTTAAATAGAAGAAAAAAAAATTTTTCAGAATACAGATTTTTAGTCTGTGTATTATAAACTTATCTGATAAAAATTATAGAAAACGTAAATGATTACTATTATGTATTTAATAGCTCTTTTTCAGAAAGAATACAGAAAAAACATAGAGGTAGAAGGGTTCAAATTTGCATGCATGTCAAAAAAAAAAGAATCAATTTATATAAACAACTTTTATTGAAAACATTAATTTACCATGTAAGTGTCAAGATAGCACGTAAAAAGGACACTAATGGCGCCTAAAGATTTAATAACATGTTACAGCAATGTCTTTAGCCATTATAAAAGTCAAACCAACAAATTAAAATGTCTTGAAGTTGTATAAATAAGGCGCACACATGTAACCTCGTAAGATTCTTTCCGACAATGCTTATCCTCCATCCTTTATCAACAGATACATAAAAGCTAGAATTTTCTTAACAGACAGAAAAAGATTTTTCAGGAATCTCGCGTTCTAAGCCTTTAAAAATATGATGCAAATGTTGATTCTCGTTCCTTGAATACATCAGTTCCGAACAGAAATGTATTGCTTGTTTTCCCTACTTCCAGCCCATAGAGACGACTCTCCGCAGGGCCTCATCCAAATATAATATTCAAATTGTTTACACAGGCTCTGGAATATTGACTCACATTATTAGGTGGCAAAAGGACTCAATAAATAAGTTAGATATGAGTGACATTGTCTATGAAATTTCATGTAGGTGCGGAGTGTGTTACATTGTCAAAAGTAAGAGACACTTACGCGTGCGTTTGCGTGAGCACGATCGTTACATTAAAAACAGGAATGAAACGTCGGTTTTGTAAAACCATTCCATAAAGCTTGCAAAAAATCTACGGAAGTGACTGTTGATACTGCTTTACGCTTGAGAGATCAATTGCTACCGACTCCCCAACCCTCTTTTTCTGGAACTTCATTTTTCTGTTTAATTGTATTGACGAAATGACGATCAGTCAGAGACTAATGACTAATCCGACTCTTTTATACAAGTCGTAGCTCGAAAGAGACAGTGTGAAAGATGTTTGGAGGTGGTAAGTCACGTTGTAGCATGAAAAATTGCGTTGACAACATATCCAGGACACCTTTAATTGAAGCAAGTCTGATCGTGTATCGCGCGCGGATAAAAAACGCTGAGTATGAAATTTTTTATAAACTATTAGCATTCAGAGGCAGAATCGAAAAACGCTGAAATCGTTGATTTTTGGAATTCATAATAATGTAACATTAGTACTTGTAACTAGACGTTCAAGAATGCGCAGACTGCAAATTACAAGTATATTTATGGATACACTTATATAAAAGAGATTTTACTGCATTTTTTTTTGTAAACGTTTTACCAGACAACCGCTACTGCCCGACACCGAGCTTTTCAAAATTTTTTTGCTACACCTCAAAGAAATCAAACGTCAGATAATTTCGTCATTCTTTTTAAAATCAGCGGAAAAATTGTCAGCGGAAGATATTTTTGAAAACCCAAACCGTTGCTCTTGTAAAACAAAAACATCAAACAAAATTGACCACATACGTTTAAAGATATGCTTTGTAACTGTTTGACATTCCAACGCAGTTTCTTACAATTTTTACGAAATCGTTTAATGTGCTGCGGTACATAAGGTTGAATACCAGAGCTATCGAAATATAAGCCATTGGAAAGTGTATCAACGTATACAGCAACCCAATGAATACCTGGTTTTGTGTGATTATCAGTGTTAATAACGAGTGCTGTTGGTTTCGTCCACACCCGTAGGATCTGATCGGCTGAAAACACACCGGTGGTATGCGTTTTAATTTGTGACAGGATTTTCGGTACTTGTAAGCTGTCCATTACGTTCGCAGAGCCAAGATTTTAGTTTATGAGCGTTATTTAAGGCACACCGATATTTTTGATGATTTGTTTTTAATGCGTGATACATACAATACATTTCCGATGATAAATTTTTTAAAGGTGGACAGTCAATCTCGTATTCCAAATCTATTAACTGACAAAGAGCAATTTTATGTAAATCGTACCACTTTTCACAGCCCCTGACGTTAATTTTTCTTGCACTTCTTCCAATATCATTCAAAATTTTTTAAATTGACTTTAAAGGTACTTCAGCCTCAAAAAAAACAAGTCGATGATGATGTCGGAACAACCAAATATTTTGTCGTTGTGCCTCCTTTTTCAATTTTTGCAAGCAACAAGAAAGTGTTACTACCCAATGTGCAGAAAAGTCATTGTTTGAAGCAACGACAGCAACTTCTTTCGGCATAGTTACGTCTTTTTTCACCTTGTAATACTGAATGTCGACAACTAGGTCCATTGCGGTTTGTGGATGGTTGAGCATACTAACAGAAACTAAACCGAGAGACGATTGTCGTGTCCGAGCAGTAAGTGTAAGTGTATGTAGCTAGTGGCGCTATCTAGCCACTAATGTCGACCATGGTTAGCGTTGGCCGCGATAGTGAAAAGTTTGAGCCCAGTCACTTACTTCAAAGCGCATCTCTACCAGCCTCTGATTTCAGCGCCACCACCGACTAATCAATAAACTAACGTCATTGTATATAGTAACACTGCAGACGACTGATTAGTGATTATGTACTGTCTTAACTATATCTGTATACACATAGAGATCTCTGGTACTACGGTAGTATGTATAGCCGCGTGCAACAGTAGTATAGTGCGTCGTATACGACTGTAGCGCCCACGCGCCACAACGAAAGTATATGGCTTTTGCTACCGTAGTATACAGGCCTCCGTGCAACTGTAGTGCGTGAACTATACTACCGTTGCTTCTGCCTTATACTACAGTTGCAACGCTGATATACTGAATTAGTATATTACCCCGCTTACCAACTTTGCTCGGGAGCCATACCAAATCGGTATTGACCCCAAGCAAATGTGCACACACACACACACACACAC